TAGAAGACAGTATTAAGGCAACTTGCAACAACCTAATTTGTTGCAAGACAAGTTTGATTTTACCGTAGCTTAAATCTCTCTGACGTCTCCGAGATTGAAATGGCCGAAATCAGATGATTTTTCTTCATCTAACCCTTCCCCCTCTTAAGTGACTGATAAAATGGATGTTATTTCTTTTCTTACCGCAGATGACGATGTTACAGTAGGAAAGTTCTATGCAACCTACCTGATTCAAGAATACTTTCGGCGCTTCAAAGCGAGGCAGAAGGCCCAGGACCAGGCTAATGAAGTTCAAGGGAATAGCACTGTGGCTTTGCAAGTAAGCGTTGGTGACTGATCAAGTCTGATACGACTATTATTTTCAACTGATCAAGTCTGACACGATTATTATTTTCATTGTTAGGCTGGTCTCAGAACACTTCACGGGCTTGGCCCACAACTGCGCCGCGCTATTTCTGGTCAGCTGGGTAGCGATGATGATGAACTGTATTTAAAAGAGGACGATTCTCAAAAAGCGCAGGTAATCCCTGTATAATCGCAATTCCAGCTTATACTTATGAAATAGAAAAAAATAGAACCTCTTTTCTCTCTGTTTGACTAAGCTTTCAATTGATTGGCTATACTTTAAGCTTTCCGATCAACAGACTCAAAAATTTGAACCAGCTTTCAATAGTCATCTGCATTGTTAACACGTTAGAACCACAGCACAAACAGCACCCAGGGGAATTACTACTCCGCAGAATAGTGTAACAAACGGTCCAAAAGAAAGTAGCCTGCGAAAACATCCGTTTCTCCGCGCTCTTCGCCGCTGGGACGTTTCGGGCGGAACGACCCCAGCAGCGAAGAGCTTGGAGAAACGGATGCTTTCACAGGCTAAAAAGAAAGAATTCCTGCAGCAACTTTCATTTGAATGGTCTTAATGTATAACCGACCGACCGACAGATAGTTAGGCCTACCTCATACCATAACCGAGACGGGTTTGTCTAATGAGAATTGCGTTGTATAAGATAAGTAACACTGTTTTATTCTCATAGCACAAAGGTTTCTGGGAGAGTTTGAAAAATGCTGTTTCCTCATCGCCGCGTCACAGGTAAAAAGCTTTAACTGTACACGTAACGCTTCGTTTGGTTCATTATAGACTAAGCGATGTTACTTTAAGAGGAAACTGCATGCTGTTTGCCCAGTGTTAAGGCTGCCTGCATTTTTCTAAATCTGCCTAGTTAAGGTGACTGGACTACTGCAATTTATTGTTTGAGGTTTATTCTGTGCTGAAGTCATTACTTAGTACCTGTACCCAAACACAAAATACTGAGCTGTATCGTTATGAAGAAGATATCGAACAGATTTCATCAGGGAACGCCATTATAATAACCATAATATATTTTTTGGTTGATTACTGCAGGCATAGCATCATCTTTTTCACGTTTCAATTCATTTCCAAGCTTGCCATCTGTTTTAACCGACGAAAGAAAAACGGGATCATTTTACGTTTCTGGGAAACTGCCCACCTACCCCTCCCCTAAACCAACATTAACACTTAGTTCTTACTTAGGTGGGCAGTTTCACAGAAACGTAAAATGATCCGGAAAACGTTCCAATGTCTAAATATAATCTTAAATAGCACAACTGTTTCATTTTTTGGAATTCAATTGAAGCCAAGAAAAGTTTTAGCTTTTTAAAAAGATGGAAAATAGACTGAACTAGTATAGCTTTTTATATATTCTTTTTCCTTTGCAGCATGAGAACTCCAAACAGATTTACACGTCCTGCCTCTTTTCGCCTTCCTGCTTTACTCCCTGGCAGTGGGAGTCTGGTACAGGCCAAGAAGAAGAGTTCGTCCATGTCGAATCTCAGTGAAAAGATGGTATGTGACAAAAAAAAAAAAATACTACTTCCTGCGCTTCTGAAATGGGATTTTTAGCCACAATACTAAAAGTATAGGGGAGCTTTAGATTCGAGGATGGCAACGGCGGTGAAAACGTTGCTTTAAAACTGAATACGCGTTTTTTCAATCTCCATCGCGATTATTCCAACTCATTCACTTTGTCAAATGTAAGCCAACGTTGCTGAGTTGAATTCTGAACAACCATATCCATGTTTAAAAAGAGACAGAACATTTCCACGTCGCTTGTTTACGTTCTCCATCGATAAAACGTGAAACTAAGTATTTTCACGTCTAAGTAGCGTTGTAGTGATGGCAAAGAAATGTACGGGAAAGTTTAATGCACTTGCGAAGTTGTTGTTTTGCTTCAGTATTAAACCTATTGCTTTTTGCCGGTTTTCATTGACGTCGCGATAGTCAGAACTAAAGGTCCCTATCGGAACTCGGTTTTTATTCTACCGAGTCGCCTGTGTCACTGACAGAAACTGATACTTAGTTACCCGAAGAAAATATACAAAGTAGTCGACTCCAGTTTTACGAATGATCTCTGCAACGCTTCATTAATCCTAGACGTTTTCCCGTGTAGTACAACATGTTTGTGGTATCATGAATCGCGTTTCTTCGATTCTACATTCTTTCATTCGTTTGAATATTTTTTCCATTCATTTTCAGCATACCGAGCTTTTCAGCGAGAAACAATTTCTTGTTCCCGGGACATCAGGGGACGAAAACGCGAATGAAAGCGAGGCTGGTAAGCCATATCATGAACTTCCATTATTAAGAGAACCGGATGATCTGGGTTCTCTACCTGCGATAAAGGGCCATTCTGGCGTGAAGGCAGCTTCAAGTTTACCTTTACCCACTGCAGGCCATATACACGGGCCAATAGCATATCTACGACAGCGTAGCAGGAGTGAAACCTCGGGAGTCACAGTTCCTTGGCCTTCACCGAGAGACATAGAAAAAGGGTCTTGTTCACCACGCGACATTGAGCGAGACCGTACGGGAAGCGTGAAAAGCCTTCTCGAGGACGCACTAATCGACGAAGGAATATCGATTACCGTGGACGACCCACTTGTTAGGGTTGCCGAACAGGAAATTGCCGAAGCTTTCGACGTTTCCGAAGATGAACTGCACGAAGCTGCTGGAAAGATTCTAGCAGACGCTAGCAGCCGTCGTGAAGTAGGCGACGAATCACGTAGCGATAAAGAGTGCCTCGACGACGATCGCACCACCGCGGAGGCCGACAGTCTCCGAACATCTCCGAATGTGTCGCTTCGGTGGTCGGGTGGAATTCAAATGGTACCCGACAGCGAGTTGGTGATCACAGATCTGTAATAAGTACAGCTAAATGGAAGCGGTGTTAGTGCAAGGAAATTTTTGCGCGTCGTGCAAGAACCTGTCCATGACACGTGACCTTGATGCGCTCATGCTATTGGTTGAGGGTCTTTTCATTTCAGTCCGACCCGTCAGTTGTGGAGACTGATTCAAAACAGCGTATTTCAAAATGGCAGCTAACGTATAAACCGCCTGTCAGGCATTATTGATACCAGGTTCCATTTACGGAATTTTGGCCATTTAAGAGCATTGAGATCTGAACATCATAGATATAAGTTTGAATATCCAGTTTACTGAGGTATTTTTTAAAGAAAAGAAATTGTAACTTACCTTTTCGCTTGCAAGGCTCATGTGATTGTCTTTGCAATAAACAGTCAGATATTTTAAACTTAATCATAAGACTTGATGTAACCTAAATTAATTAATCTTACCCATATGTAGAAATTAGGGACAGACTTTTAATAGGCTAATGTGATATTTATTGCACAGTTTCTTTGTAATATTTCTTATTGCCTGGTTAATGCGGTTTTCCTTTATAAGGGATATCCGCAGTATCAATCAAATCTTTGTATCGAATTTACGCAGTGTTTTAGGACGTTTTTCGTCGTCATCGAGGTATTTCCGAGCTGGAATTAGCAATGGAAAGTAGTTCTGATGGACGAGTACAAAGAATTGTAAGACCATAAAGCATCATGCATTTCATTTTACTTAAACTACACAAATATCATTAAATGTAATTAAGCGTTTAACAATTGACTGTGAGCGACATCATTGTGAGTTAAGCTTTTAAAGATTTAGACAAAAGCTGTGGCAGGACGTTTAAATTTTAAAGATGTTTGATTTTGCATGATTTAATAAAGTTAAATATGTTACATTAAAAGTAAAATAAACCAAAAATCCAGCGGTTTCATGACTTTTATTGACAGTCATCCGACCTTGGAAGGTAAATTTTTCGTTAACTTCTCTGAGCAATAATGAAAGTTTTTAATCAAAACGTTTCGAGGTGATTCATAATTAACACCCACTTTCCATGTAAATGCCTCCACTTATTCATATGCACGACGCTAATATACAAGCTACTGAACAAATTGATTTCAGTTGTACTGTTGTAGTATGCGCCTTACCATAGTTAGTAATAGTACTATGCCCTTACAGAGCCTGTAATTTAATCCTACGGGTGACAAGTCACTCAAGGCTACTGATCGGTGCTTTCTCAGAGTAAAAAACACAGTGTTTACTATGCTGTACCAAATGGCTCTAACTTTCGAGTCTGTTCATGAAATCCTAAAAAGTGACCATTCAATTAAAGACTGCTGAACGGTACTTTCCTGCAATGCTGTTTATTTAACAATTATTCCTCGAGCTCGAATGGGCTGTAAGTCAATAGCCCAGAGGCCATGACGGCGAGAGGAATAATTGTTTTAGTAAAATCCAACTAGCTGGTCAAAAATATCGAGACAAAACAATTTTAGCTCTTGAAAACTAGATTTAAATCCTTTTTGGCCGCCAAAAAGCCGGCGCTTTCGCTACTAGTGGGCTATAACATAAAACCTAGTAGTAGCTCAACCAATCAGAACGCAGCGTTGATAATAGACCACTAGTTGGATTTTACTAATATGCCATACAGGGTGGTTCTAACTTATGAGTTCGTGCTGTGTTTTACGCGGGACAAAGTCTTCTCTTTGGAGCCCAGCAACAGAAAAGCAGTTTATACCACCCACAGTCAATCCCACAGTCTGTTTGGTAATGTTGATACATGTTATTTCCTCAGAGTGAGCAAATGTTTGCTTTTGGATTCTTTCGTTTGTTTCGCGCCTTGCGTCTCGTGAAGCTTCTCAACCAGGGGTCTGGGATCAAGACTCTTCTTTGGACCTTTATCAAGTCCTTCCAGGTGAGCTTCGCTGAAAATGTACCTGTTTTTTGGTGCCGGACTACGGGTAGCCATTGTTGGCAGAAATATGTTCACTTTCTTCTCCAACATGGTGCCCGCCAATGTACGTTCATTTCAGTAGCGACAAGTAATTTCTAGATGTGTGAAGGCTGTCGGCTAGGTATTACGTCCTGCCGAGTATACGCCTACTGCTTTGTAGTATTTAGCGGATCGATGTCTTTAGGCTTGTAAGTAGAAGATAAAGTGTTCTTTCATTTGCATGATTCTTGCTTGTTGTTTTTTGTTACAGGCTCTACCATATGTTGCACTTCTGATTGTAATGATGTTCTTTATTTATGCTGTAATTGGAATGCAGGTAAGATGTAAAGTTAGAAAAAGTGGCTCAAATTTTCATTGTTTTGAGCATTTTTTTTTGGCTCTCTGTTTTCTTTTTCTCGAGCGCGATCGAACCGAAGTTATGCGTAAAATAATAGTATTATTTCTAACACAACTGAAAACTGCTCTCTTCCAAGACTTACTGCTTGCGACACAAACGGAGCTAGGTCCGTCTGTAAAACAGCGCAGAAATCCTTGTTCTGGGCCCCCACCTGTGTAACAGGATTTAATTACGCGCTATGATTGGCCTGTTAAAAATCCTATTGTCGATTTGCCAATCAGGTTGAAGGAAAATTCGTGACGCATTTCCCATAATTCTTGAGTCCGTCGAAGGCCCACAACAAGGATCTCGGCGCTGCGTCGAATACGTTACTAACCGAAGTTAGATTAAATCTGTGACGCATGCGTAATACGTATTGTGTTTTGTAGATGTTTGGTCGCATTGCACTGGACTCGGACACGCAAATAACGAGAAATAACAACTTCCAAACATTCCCTCAGTCTCTTATGGTGCTCTTCAGGTAACGAAAACGGTTGTTAGTTTGCCTCGAAACTGATTTTTCATTTTGCATTCTCTTTAGTGGTAAAACTATTGATACGATTTTTCTCTTAGATCTGCCACTGGGGAAAACTGGCAGCAAATTATGTTGGCGTGTACAAATCGAGATGACGTGAAGTGCGACCCTCGAGCGGACCCGCAAGAACCCTCGGGATTGTGTGGATCGGACTTCGCTTACTTCTATTTCGTCTCATTCTACTCAATTTGTTCATTTTTGGTAAGAATGATTGTTTAAGTAGCGTTTCCTTTCGATATTAAAAGGCTGTACGTAATGATGGAAAATTAAATTATCCGTCTGCACTGCAAAAGAGCCTGCCAGTACATATCTTATCAATGCGGGCCAAATCCAACTTTTCGGCATTTTACCTTGGTAGTCAATCATTTACGAGACTTCCATGGTCCAACTCTATGGTTGTAAGGTAAGGGATGAGTATTATTAATGTGTGGTATACCAATTTTCTTTTTCCATTCTTCTTATAATGAAAATGTCCCAATGCCGGTAAATTAATTTATTTCTTAATTTCAACTAACTTTAAATCATTTTTGTGAGAATAATTTTTGTTGGCGCTCCTAGTTATTTGCCAGAACACAAAGTTTCTTTTTCTTTCGGCACAACAAGGTTTCTTTTTTGTCCTTTTAGATCATTAACCTGTTCGTTGCTGTCATCATGGACAACTTTGACTATCTGACTCGTGATTGGTCAATTCTCGGCCCACATCATTTGGACGAGTACGTGAGGGTCTGGTCCGAGTATGATCCCGAGGCTCGAGGCTGCGTCAAGCACGTGGATATTGTAATTTTGCTAAAGAGAATAGCGCCACCCTTGGGATTTGGAAAGTTCTGCCCGCATAGGGAAGCCTGCAAGGTAACGACCTACCGATTATCCCAGGGGTATTTCCTCCTGTTATTTCAGAAAGTTGTATATTACCCTGCGGAGAATTTTCTGAGGCATAAGGGTGATTATAATACAACTATTTGATCTGCTTTTTTTCCTCAGCGCCTGGTCACCATGAACATGCCGCTGACCAAAGATGGGATGGTGGACTTTAATGCTACTTTGTTTGGACTTATAAGATCTTCTCTTAACATCAAAAGACCCGAAGGTAAGATGTAGATTGGAAATCACGTAAGTCTAAGTAACAAGAACGAAATCCCCTCATGGAAGGAAATGATTGCAAAATGTCAGCACCACCTCTTGTGGCAAAGAAAAGGAATTGCATGATTGTTCACTGGTTAGCCCTGTACTGATATGCAGTGGACCCCGTTAATTCGAATACTGCAGGCTCGCGCGGCTGGGCGGAGCTGCCACGCGACGCGATCAGCGGAGTTGCGAGGGATTTTCCCCTTGCCGTAGAGCCGCCAAATAGCTGCAGCACTAGTGGCTCTTCACGCCCCGCTAAACCTGCTAGCTACCCAGGTTGATTTACTGCTTGGCCGTTAAATTTGGTCTTATTACGGGGTGGAAGAACTTTTTGTGTGGTTATTAAGTACAGAATCCCTCACCAAGGTGATTTAAATCCAGTTTCAGGCAATACCAAAATACTTTCGGAACCTGGTTTTATTTTCTGTGCCATTGTGCTAACTAACAGGGGCAAATCGATGCAAGAAGTCCAACATAGTTAATACCATGGTTCTTCGCTCTTATTTGTTGTATTTTTTTTTACCTATTGTTTTGGTTTTCCTTGTTTCTCCACAGGAAAAGGTTCAATAGACAAAGCTAATGCAGAAGTTAGGAATATTATTCTCCGCATCTGGCCTAAGACGCCGTTAGAGCTCCTAGATAGAGTAGTGCAGCCTCCAGGGACGCGTAAGTATCTGCCACTGTGTTATCAAGTTCATTGAAAATGGGAGCATTTCCTGCCTGCGAGTACTATTTGAATAGCGAGGTTGCGGAAAGTTGTTGCAGAAAGTAGGGAGTAGTTCTACTCTTCAACAAAATCTGTGAATGTTGTGCGTTTTACCGGCCCGAGACAAACTTATTTTGCAACAAGTGACGCAAATCCCATGTACGGCGTAGCTTCCGCGTAATTATATTCAATCAGAAGGCAGTATTCACGCAACTTGCTACAACCTAATTTGTTGCAAGACAAGTTTGATTTGGCCGTAGCTAAAATCTCTCTGATGTCTCTGAGATTGAAATGGTCGAAATCAATTACTTGATTTTTCCTCATCTAACCCTCCCCACTCTTAAGTGACGGATGAAATGTTATTTCTTTTTTTACCCAGATGACGATGTTACAGTAGGAAAGTTCTATGCTACCTACCTGATTCAAGAATACTTCCGGCGCTTCAAAGCGAGGCAGAAGGCCCAGGACCAGGCTAATGAAGTTCAAGGGAATAGCACTGTGGCTTTGCAGGTAAGCGTTGGTGACTGATCAAGTCTGATACGACTATTATTTTTAACTGATCAAGTCTGACACGATTATTATTTTCATTGTTAGGCTGGTCTCAGAACACTTCACGGGCTTGGCCCACAACTGCGCCGTGCTATTTCTGGTCAGCTGGGTAGCGATGATGATGAACTGTATTTAAAAGAGGACGATTCTCAAAAAGCGCAGGTAATCCCTGTATAATCGCAATTGCAGCTTATAGTTATGAAATAGAAAAAATAGAACCCCTTTTCTCTCTGTTTGACTAAGCTTTCAATTGATTGGTTATACTTTAAGCTTTCCGATCATTAGACCCAAAAATTTGAACCAGCTTTCAATGGTCATCTGCATTGTTAATACATTAGAACCACAGCACAAACCGCACCCAAGGGAATTACTACTCCGCAGCATAGTGTAATAAACGGTCCAAAAGAAAAGTAGCCTGCGAAAACATCCGTTTCCCCGCGCTCTTCGTCGCTGGGACGTTTCTCGCGGAACGACCCCTGCTGCGAAGATCGTGGAGAAACGGATGTTTTCACTGGCTAAAAAGAAGAATTCCTGCAGCAACTTTCATTTGAATGATCTTAATGTATAACCGAACGACCAACAGATAGTTAGGCCAACCTCATACCATAACCGAGAAGGGTTTGTCTAATGAGAATTGCGTTTTATGAGATAAGTAACACTGTTTATTCTCATAGCACAAAGGTTTCTGGGAGAGCCTGAAAAATGCTGTTTCCTCATCGCCGCGTCACAGGTAAAAGCTTTAACTGTACACGTAACGCTTCGTTTGGTTTATTAGACTAAGCGATGTTACTTTAAGAGGAAACTGCATGCTGTTTGATCAGTGTTAAGGCTGCCTGCTTTTTTCTAAATCTTTCTAGTTAAGATGACTGAACTACTGCAATTTATTGTTTGAGGTTTATTCTGTGCTGAAGTCATTACTTAGTACCTGTACCCAAACACAAAATTTCAGTGCTGAGCAGTAGAGTTATGAAGAAGATATGGAACCAATTTCATCAGGCAACACTATTATACTAACCATAATATATTTTTTATTTGGTGATTACTGCAGGCATAGCATCATCTTTTTCAAGTTTCAATTCATTTTCAAGCTTGCCATTTGTTTCAACCGTCGAAACGGAAACGTTCTAATATCTTAATATAATCTTAAATAGCACAACTGTACCATTATTTTTTGGAATTCAGTTGAAGCCAAGAAAAGTTTTAGCTTTTTAAAAAGATGGAAAATAGCGTGAACTAGTATAGCTTTTTTAATATTCTTTTTCCTTTGCAGCATGAGAACTCCAAACAGATTTACACGTCCTGCCTCTTTTCGCCTTTCTGCTTTACTCCCTGGGAGTGGAAGTCTGGTACAGGCTAAGAAGAAGAGTTCGTCCATGTCGAATCTCAGTGAAAAGATGGTATGTGACAGAAAAAAATAAATACTACTTCCTGCACTTCTGAAATGGGATTTTTAGCCACAGTACTAAAGGTATAGGGGAGCTTTAGATTCGAGGATGGCAACGGCGGTGAAAACGTTGCTTTAAAACTGAATACACGTTTTTTCAATCTCAATCGCGATTATTCCAACTCATTCACTTTGTCAAATGTAAGCCAACACTCCTGAGTTGAATTCTGAACAACCATATCCATGTTTAAAAAGAGACAGAACATTTCCACGTCGCTTGTTTAGGTTCTCCATCGATAAAACGTGAAAGTAAGTATTTTCACGTCTCAGGAGCGTTGTAGTGATGGCAAAGAAATGTGCAGGAAAGTTTAATGCACGTGCAAAGTTGTTGTTTTGCTTCAGTATTAAACCTATTACTTTTTGGCGGTTTTCATTGACGTCGCCGTAGTCAGAACTAAAGGTTCCTATCGGAACTCGGTTTTTATTCTACCGAGTCGCCTGTGTCACTGACTGAAACTTATAGTTAGTTACCCGAAGAAAATACAAAGTAGTCGATCCCAGTTTTGCGAACGATCTCTGCAACGCTTCATTAATCCTAGAAACGTTTTCCCCTGTAGTACAACATCTTTGTTGTATCATGAATCGCATTTCTTCGATTCTACATTCTTTCATTCGTTTGAATATTTTTTCCATTCATTTTCAGCATACCGAACTTTTCAGCGAGAAACAATTTCTTGTTCCCGGGACATCAGGGGACGAAAACGCAAATGAAAGCGAGGCTGGTAAGCCTTATCATGAACTTCCATTATTAAGAGAACCGGATGATCTGGCTTCTCTTCCTGCAATAAAAGGTCATTCTGGCGTGAAGGCAGCTACAAGCTTACCTTTACCCACTGCTAGCCATATACACGGGCCAATAGCATATCTACGACAGCGTAGCAGGAGCGAAACCTCGGGAGTCACAGTTCCTTGGCCTTCACCGAGAGACGTAGAAAAAGGGTCTTATTCACCACGCGACATTGAGCGAGACCTTACGGGAAGCGTGAAAAGCCTTCTCGAGGACGCACTAATCGACGAAGGAATATCGATTACCGTGGACGACCCACTTGTTAGGGTTGCCGAACAGGAAATTGCCGAAGCTTTCGACGTTTCTGAAGATGAACTGCACGAAGCTGCTGGAAAGATTCTAGCAGACGCTAGCAGTCGTCGTGAAGTAGGCGACGAATCACGTAGCGATAAAGAGTGCCTCGACGACGATTGCACCACCGCGGAGGCCGACAGTCTCCGAACATCTCCGAATGTGTCGCTTCGTTGGTCGGGTGGAATTCAAATGGTACCCGACAGCGAGTTGGTGATCACAGATCTGTAATAAGTACAGCTAAATGGAAGCGGTGTTAGCGCAAGGAAATTTTTGCGCGTCGTGCAAGAACCTATCCATGACACGTGACCTTGATGCGCTTATGCTATTGGTTGAGCGACCCGTCAGTTGTGGAGACTGATTCAAAACAGCGTATTTCAAAATGGCAGCCAACGTATAATACCGCCTGTCAGGCATTATTGATACCAGGTTCCATTTACGGAATTTTGGCCATTTAAGAGCAATGAGATCTGAACATCATAGATATAAGTTTGAATATCCAGTTTACTGAGGTATTTTTTAAAGGAAAGAAATTGTAACTTACCTTTTCGCTTGCAAGGCTCATGTCTTTGCAATAAACAGTCAGATATTTTAAACTTAATCATTAGACTTGTAGTAACCTAAATTAATTAATCTTACCCATATGTAGAAATTAGGGACAGACTTTTAATAGGCTAATGTGATATTTATTGCACAGTTTCTTTGTAATATTTCTTATTGCCTGGTTAATGCGGTTTTCCTTTATAAGGGATATCCGCAGTATCAATCAAATCTTTGTATCGAATTTACGCAGGAGAAATTTTTTTTATTTTCTTTATTACTACTATTTTTAGGAATTGCTTTTAACTGAAATTTTTGTCTCCAAAAAATGAGCAAATCTACAGAGAATCTTTGCTTATGATTTATATTTTAGTCTAAAACCCTTCAATCCCTAAAAGCTAGCGGCATTAATTTCTTATTTTCAATTTCAGTTACTTAATCATTGAAAGAGGTCCTAAGATTGATAGTCAGTTGCGTTTCTTGACTGCTGTAGTTTTGCGTTGCTTTTCTTTGTGACTGGCTGTAAAATCTCACTGTGCGCCAGTTTCTCAACCAATCAGAACAAAATCCAAAACACAAAATCGTGTGTCACAAAACGTGCCCCGGTTGCCTTTGTCACTTTATTCAAAGATCTGATTGTTTTATTGCTTTGCTTTTTGTTGAAAAACGTCCATTTGAATGTTGCTTTGGAAATGTTTCATCGTCAGTTTGATGCAATGACCCCTTCAGGTCAAGAATAGAGAATTTCTCTTTTTCTAATGAGGATTGAAGGGTTATTTATGTTTTTTTAATTGTAGTTATCTTTTTTTTTGAAGAAGGAATTTAATTTAGTATATTGTTTCAAAACGATGAAGTGAATTGTTTTTTTTTAATGCGAAACACATTGTAAAAACAAAAACAAAGACGATTTAAGGTTAATTATAGTGTTGAATATTGCTTAAATGTACGCGCTTAGAAGACAAAATTGGATAGTTTTGTTCCTTCTCATAGAAACCCAAAACGAAGATAAAAGTACTTTAGTAGTTTTTTCCAAGGTGGCATAGTTAAGTGCTTCGCCGTGTATGGTCATAGAGACTGTCGGGAAAGGCCTTAACTATCTCCCTCGGGATCAGATAGTTCGTGTTAATTGAATCCCTCTAATTCCTTGTCCAACTTTTGTGTCTCTTGTGATGGATAAAAGGGTACTGCATCTATTCAACACTTCAATGAACCATTGTATTCAGAAGATATTTTTGTAGCCTGATATATTTATGCCTAGCTGAAATCGTAACATATGAACATAGATATGGTAGATAAGATTTTTATTATACGGCTGTAGAGCGTTTTTTTACCGGGTTGTAAATATAGATTTTAATTTTTCATAAGAAAAGTCTGTGTGCCTTCAAGGCGATATATGATGAAAATGCTGAAAATATGAGATTCAATCTGCAAATAAAGAGTATTTTGTAAATATGTTGTGATGGATGTATGTGAAATAATTATTCGTCTTTTTCGGGAGACCATTACCCTCAGCTTGTTAAGTAATAATATTAATATATAGATTTAGCCAAGGCTTAAAGCGAAGCTCCCATAAATGAATTTATATTTTACTACAGACAGTAAACTTGTAACTAAAGAAAGAGAGTTGAGCCTACAATCAGGTGAAAACAAGTAACTTGTTTGCGGATAATTTAAAGAAAATATGCAAAGCTCACGTTATGGTCATGTGATACTGGTCAGAAGAAAATGATTGAACAGAAGACATCACACTGAAAGATAGAAATTTTTTTTATTTAACCTTGTCACAAATGAAAGGCTATACGTAAACAAGTTTGTGGCAATATTTCAAACTTGATTAAAATTTTCTCTGAATTCCTTTACCATGAAGTTAAATATACATACATGTTACCTCAGCTTCATTCCAGAAATTGGAAGAAACTTACAATGACGGCACTTGCACAACCAAATGCTGTAATAAAGGCAAGATGACCTATTTTTAAAACCTTACTATGACTGTTTTTCTCTGAGATAATACTCAGACCATTTTTGAAGACAAGGAACTTAGCTTTCCTATAGTACCCGCTAGCCATTTCAAGTGGCATAGAACACACAAAGAACCTAGGGGGAGGGGGAAAGGTGATTTGATCATAAGTCCCATATTTGATAAGCAATGCATGATACCCTTTTACCACCACTAGCTAACTTAACAGCTGACTTTTTTCTTCAATCCAATACAGCAAAGCTTTCCTTACGCTAACTAGTTCCACATGAAAAGAGAAAGGTCCCATATATACCCCGAGTGGTTTTTATTCAAAGGCCGGGATGTGGAGCAACTACTGTACAACTGTAAAGTAGTCTTTCCCTTTTTGAACTCTTCAAGTCCCAAATTTGACAACATAAATTTTCTCCTAACAGTGCCGAGACATCATTAAGAGAAAAGATGATGAAAACCATTAAAGTAATCACCAAAGGGAAAATTCTTTGACCTTTTATCAAATTCTCTCTACTAAATATTTAAGGAAATGCATGGAGATCAGTTGGGAGAACTTGTATGCGGATACTGAGGCTTAAATAATAAAATTAAGGTCTTTGATAGCAAACTAATCCTCCTGTCTCACAATAATGAGCTAGTGAAAGAAGACAAAAATAGGCCGCTAATCAGACTCTGGGGCTGCAGCTTTTGCAAAAGTTTCAAGTAGTATAAATTTCAGAAATATTAATAAATGAACAGGCAGTCTTGAAAATCTTTCATTTAAGTTATTTAGAACTACAAAACTAATCAGAGCTCGGTGTGTTCTTTTTTAAGCAGTTCAATCTTCTTTATAAAGTCTGATTTTTCTAAACATCCAACACAATCTTCGTCCCAATCACTCAAGATCTTTTTGAGTTGTTTAACTCGCAGTTTCTTTAAGTCCACATTATTCAGATCAATCTGCTTGTCTGCAACCATGAAAACAAAGTGCATTAGTTCCAGAATGTTGCAAAAAGTTTGAATAATCAAGAAGACCAGTCAGTTGAGTTTCGCTGTTACCAATAACAGACCCAGGGTGCAAAGATAGTCAGTCTTATAGTTTGCTGTTCGGGAAAGATATAACTAGCACGTACTAGCTCCAGAGCCATATTCAATTCAATTCAATTCAATTCCTTATTTCACACTTTAAATTATAAGATATTTACATAAGTGTACATAGGTAGGAAAATAAAGTCGCTGACAAATAATAATTAACTAAAGGATATTAAGTTCATTTGTGTACAGTGTCCAAAGTAGCAAGGGCTTTCTTGTTGGACCCCATCATGTTGAAATAATTGGCAGCAGTAAAGAGAGGAATAAAATCTCAGATAATATCAGTGATAGAACATAAAAGCAAGGTCAGATTTGGTTGGTTAGAAGACAGGACTTCCATTCTTTCTTAAACTTATGATATGGCAGACACTTGAGACCAGGCGGTACAGTCTCCCAGATTTTTGGAATTTTTTGGATTTCAGCCTAGACAGGACTGATTACAGTTCTTCTGTAAATTAAATTCTCCAAAAAACTTCATTTTCCTGTTGGGGAATTCAGTAGTCCGATAGGAATATCCTCTAGCCTTGGGCTATCAGACACTACTTTATTTGCATGCTGAGACCACATATTGATTTTCTCACTCACCATATTGAAGCTCACAGATCTGTGCATCTTGCTTTTTAAGCTTCTCACAGATCTTGTCTGCTGGCATGTGATAACTCAGGGGCTTGACAACTTCCTTTAACATGCCAGTAGCGGCATCAGCTGTTCCTCCAATGTAATAACACTAGTGAAAAAAAATAATGCACATTATTCCTGGGGGGAAGGTGGGGTGGGGCAGGCAGAAGGGATATACCTGGTGGTGCCTCAGTGAAGTTGATTAACCCTTTAAACACTAAGATCAAAATTTGAATTCTCATTTGTTGCCCCTATTCATTTCCTACAGAAATAGAGGGAAGAAGTTGATAAAATATCAAGCCAATTCATCTTGCGTGATCTTGTCGGTAATTCTCATGACAACTCTGTTTTACAAGGTATTGATATAACAAGGAGAAATTTGATGCTGATCACTCTTAGGGCTTTTTAAAAAGGGTTAAAATAGATAGCAGAGGCCAGGCATTACTCGACCTCTCAACCACAGGCAAATCCAGTTAATTGTTAATTATCACTATTCACAGTGTACTGCTTTTAAAGTATTATCTGCTCCTTTCTTTTAAGCAACATAACAGAGGAGAGGAGCTTATGATTCAACTATGTACAAGACTGAGCCCTGGAGTACAACTCTCATTCTTCCCACGCAGCGTGTTGATGAGTCTAAGCGTAAAGACCCATTAGCTTTCAACAGGGTTCTTTTACTTACAAATCTGTTTTCTTTGGTTTTTGCTTTCTTGCAAGTTGCCTTTAACTTGTCCTGGATTTTAGTGAGATCTGACAAGTCATCACTGGATAGTTTACTGGCAAAATTAGTAAGGAACTTTATACAGACTGAAAAACAAGATCAAAACATTTGACTCTTTCATAAGAAGGCATAATCATTAACAGGGGGTCAACCACGCACGGAAAATAGGATTTTCAAACATCAATTTTTTTGCAAATTTTCACATATTTTTGTAACAGATATCAAGCATCTGGCCTATTCCCACAAAAATTCAGCTGGACAATTGACATAAAAAACTGTTATAAGTATAAAACGTCACACTCAAAGCACAGTATCACTCGATGTCTTGACCAAAAATGGCTAAATTTGAATAAGCATTCTCCTTCTTTGGAATCATGTTTCACTTTTTACCAACCAGGTGTGTTTGGTCACCATTTTTTCTTACGTTCAGGGTATCCACATACACCAATTTAAGCTTATTTGCATTTTAAGATCAAAATTGATTTGGACCCAACAATAAACTCAATCAAGTTGAAACTCAGATTATACTCTGTCATAGAAATTCTGATCTTAATTCTATGTACCTAGTCAAAGTCGCAAAGCTGTTAAATAGATCTGTTTATCAGGTTAAAAGGATTCTGATCAAAAGGGGTTCCTGCTCTAACTTTATCCATACGTGTCGAAAAAACAGCTGAAGTCTATCAACTACATGAGATTTTGCACACTGACCTTCGCAATCACCGTCCTTCAACTTCGCTTCTGCTTGCCAAAGGTGGAAGCTTAGCAAGGTGTTTAGTGAGAGCACAATAAATAACCACATAACAAATGGAAAGAGCTTAGCCGATCTAGATAAAATTGTTACGACTTCAAACTCTTCTCTGAACGTTTCAAAAAGTACCGGCTGATTACGCAAAATGCCAATGCTCGTGGACTAGTTGGCGCCTTCTGATTGGTGGAATCATCAATACGCCTGCAAACTAATGACCAGCAGTCTTTTCCAAAATATTCTGAGCCCGTTTTTTTCTTGACCAGCGTTCATTCTAATGACTTTAGTCACCAGGTTTTCCCGAGCTTGCGGACGATTGCTTCTCATGTTTATTGCTATGGAAATGATGGAACGTCGAAAAGTCGAATGTACATTTATTAGCTTCTAATTTTCTGGATATCCAAGGCGATGAAGAGAACGATGTTAAAGAGAAGTAAAATAGCCAGATGAGATGTCGCTTTCCTCGGTGTTACCGGCTTTATCGGGTGTTTATACCCAAAAGAACAACGCGAAACAAAGGTGAGTTTGATGTTAAGCACTGGATGTCATGAAGTTGAGCATGCATGCTTTACGATGTTTACTTTGGTGCTTTCTCTTGTATCTTTATGGGTTTGATTTGCTATTTTTCACTGAGTTTTTAATCTTGCAATTTGGTTAACTTGCCGCTGAGTTTTACTTATCCAACTGTATCCTTGCTTGCTTATTAACAACTACACATGTTAGGTGCCTTAAATCTGTTTGTACACATTTCAGTTAGACTCTTGTTTACTTTGTCAGTGATGGTTCATCTTAAAAGCGTATTTCTCTTTTTTCGTGGATCCTAAATGGTATCAAGTTTTCCTTGTTTTGAACAGGGAAAACCAAAGCCCAGAAGAAATAAGTATTTTTATCAGATTGAAAACCAAGCAATGGTGTTCATGTATGCTAGAAGGTCGACCTTCATACAATTTATTTTGTTTAAATAAACAATATTTTTTATTGCTCAGCACGCACTTTCGTATTTGTTTGAAACACAGCAGGTCATTTCTTAATTAAATGGATTGTCAACATTCCCACCTGGAAACCCCCTGGGTTTTTAAATTCCAGTTGTTATGAATTTTTGTGTGGGCCATTTATACACATGAACCCATTAGCTAATTATTGTCGATTAATTTGAAATATTTGTTTCATAATTTATCCTTAAAAAGCCACTAAAGACAAACAAATACTGAATTATTTAATTCTTAGAATGTAATTAAGAATGTTGCTGAACGAAATGTGTAATTTTTTTAGGCTTATTGACACAACCAGCAATGCTGCCAGCTCTACTCATTCCAAGAAAAGTAAGAGTAAACATCACATTAATGCAGAGAAGCAGAAAGCTGAAGCTGAAGCTAAGGCTGCTAAAGAACGAGAAGAGGTAAACACTTGTCTTTGCTAAGGATGGTGTTAAGGGGGGAGGGGATGGGGGGTAATCCTATAATGAAGAGGTGGGGATACCCATCGAACATTTAAAATCAAACCCCTAAAGGAGACTAATCAGTGCTTGGGTCAGGCTTTATTTGACCTCCAAAAGAAGCCATACTCCAGCACAGTATAACAACATTTTGTTACTCACAACCTTGAGCAATACCTTTATAGGCAAAGAAAATTAATTTTCAATCCTGAACACCTCAAATAATACCAAAACCTACAATTTCTACCCCTAAGTGAGCTGGCTTAAATCTGCACCACTTTCCTTCCTGTTCCCCTGGGGGTGGTGTTCAATGATGGGGTCAGGGGTGGTGGGGGATACTTTGGGCGTGGCTCTGCAGGTACACTGTATATATGTTACAGGTCAAAATTAAATTCAGATTAAAATTTTTTAACCTAGGTTGATTCTCCATATTTTCTTTGTCTCCTAGTCCTACTGTAATTCATGAATAATTAGGGCTAGGACAAAAAGGAAGAGAATCAACCTAGGTTAAAAAAATTTATTTAGATTTAAATTTGACCTCTAAAGTTAACCTTCAATTATTGAAGGTTAACTTTGGAACTCCTTCCATACATTTCTGCTTAATGAGCTTAGCCGATCTAGATAAAATTGTTACGACTTCAAACTCTTCTCTGAACGTTTCAAAAAGTACCGGCTGATTACGCAAAATGCCAATGCTTGTGGACTAGTTGGCGCCTTCTGATTGGTGGAATCATCAATACGCCCGCAAACTAATAACCCAGCAGTCTTTTCCAAAATATTATGAGCCCGTTTTTTTCTTGACCAGCGTTCATTCTAATGACTTTAGTCACCAGGTTTTCCCGAGCTTGCAGACGCTTGCTTCTCATGTTTATTGCTATGGAAATGATGGAACGTCGAAAAGTCGAATGCACATTTATTAGCTTCTAATTTTCTGGATGTCCAAGGCGATGGAGAGTACGATGTTAAAGATAAGTAAAATTTTCAGATGAGATGTCGCTTTCCTCGGTGTTACCGGCTTTACCGGGTGTTTATACCCAAAAGAACAACGCGAAACAAAGGTGAGTTTGATGTTAAGCACTGGATGTCATGAAGTTGAGCATGCATGCTTTACGATGTTTACTTTGGTGCTTTTTCTTGTATCTTTATGGGTTTGATTAGCTATTTTTCATTGAGTTTTTTAATCTTGCAATTTGGTTAACTTGCCGCTGAGTTTTACTTATCCAACTGTATCCTTGCTTGCTTATTAACAACTACACATGTTAGGTGCCTTAAATCTGTTTGTGCACATTTCAGTTAGACTCTTGTTTACTTTGTCAGTGATGGTTCATCTCATAAGCGTATTTCTCTTTTTTGGTGGATCCTAAATGGTATCAAGTTTTCCCGTTTTGAACAGGGAAAACCAAAGCCCAGAAGAAATAAGTATTTTTATCAGATTGAAAACCAAGCAATGGTGCTCATGTATGGCAGAAGGTCGACCTTTATACAATTAATTTTGTTTAAATAAACAATATTTTGTATTGCTCAGCATGCGCTTTCATATTTGTTTGAAACACAGCAGGTCATTTCTTAATTAACATTCCCACCTGGAAACCCCCTGGGTCTCGCGCCATCGGTCAGGCGTGTGGCCATTTGCGTACAGAAAAAGGAGAGACTGCTCGTAGTCTATTAATTCCAGTCGTTATGAATTTTTTTGTGTGCCATTTATACACATGAACCCATTAGTTAATTATTGTCGATTAATTTGAAATATTTGTTTCATAATTTATCCCTAAAAGGCCACTAAAGAGAATGATAACTGAATTATTTAATTCTTACAATGTAACTAAGAATGTTGCTGAGTGTAATGTGTAATGTTTTTAGGCTTATTGACACAACCAGCAATGCTGCCAGCTCTACTCATTCCAAGAAAAGTAAGAGTAAACATCACATTAACGCCGAAAAGCAGAAAGCTGAAGCTGAAGCTAAGGCTGCTAAAGAACGAGAAGAGGTAAACACTTGCCTTTACTAAGGATGGTGTTAAGGGGGAGGGGATGGGGGGGCAATCCTATAATGAAGAGGTGGTGATACTCATCAAACATTTAAAATCAAACCCCTAAAGGAGACTAATCAGTGCCTGGGCCCAGGGGCCTCACTCACATATTTTAATTTTATTTTAATTTTGGGATTTTTTTGGGTATAAAATATGAACCTCTGTCGGACCCCCCCGTCATTAAAATGTGTGAGTGGGGCCCCTGGGTGCCTGGGTCAGGCTTTATTTGACCTCCAAAAGAAGCCATACTCCAGCACAGTATAACAACATTTTGTTACTCACAACCTTGAGCAATACCTTAATGGGCAAGGAAAATTAATTTTCAATCCTGAACACCTCAAATAATACCAAAACCTACAATTTCTACCCCCTAAGCAAGATGGCTTAAATCTGCACCACTTTCATTCCTGTTCCCCTGGGGATGGTGTTCAATGATGGGGCCAAGGGTGGTTGGGGGTACTTTGGGCGTGGCTCTGCAGGTATACTGTAGATATGTTACAGGTCAAAATTAAATTCAGATTAAATTTTTTTAACCTAGGTTGATTCTCAATATTTTCTTTGTCTCCTAGCCCTACTGTAATTCATGAATAATCAGGGCTAGGACAAAAAGGAAGAGAATCAACCTAGGTTAAAAAAATTTATTTAGATTTAAATTTGACCTCTAAAGTTAACCTTCAATTATTGAAGGTTAACTTTGGAACTCCTTCCATACATTTCTGCTTAATGTCAAAATAGCTAAATGAAAACAATTAACCTCTTGAATTAACTGTATGCCTGTTCTGTTCTATATTTTGCATGTAGCAATGCATCCGTCTGTACGAAATGTGGTCAAAACTCAAACAAGATGAGAAGGATGAACATTATCAATATCTGAAGGAAAGGGTCTCCATTCAACATGAATTAATCAGAAGACAAGACATTCTGTTTAAAAATCGCCAGGCAAAAATAGAGCAAAAACGATGGCAGGTATGGTGATCGATAGCTTATAGTATTTTTATCTTAGTTTTAGTTTTTTGTTGCCACAAACAATTTTTAAAAACTGAAACAGTTTTTATTAAACCATTCCAGCCTTAGCTAGTATTTTTAATCTTTATAGTTCTAGTTTTAAACCTTAGTTGTAGTCTTAGTTTTTAGCCATATTTTAGTTTTATTTTAATGTAATTTTGTCCTTTATTTTAGAGGACCCTCATGAAAACCACCTTTAGGTGATTGGATCAGGGCTCCTCTTAAAATATCCTGTATTATTTATTATTATTTTATTAATATTACCGTAAAATTCCGAAAATAAACCCCGGAGCTAATATTTTTCAAAGGCCCTTTTCGAGGGGATTATGTTTGGAGGGGCTTATATTCGGAGTGGCTTATGTAAGGAGGGAAATTTGCGTTTAAAAATCAATTGGGCTAGCCATTTCTAGGTAGGAAATTTACCTTTTTTCTTTGTTTTACTTTGCATTTGAGGGCAATTTCCAAGTGCAAGCCCCCGGGGGGGGGGCTTATATTTGGAGGGGCGATTTAACGGAGGGTTTTTTGCATTACGAGTTTGAGGGGTTTATACATGGATGGACTTATTTTCGGAATTTTATGGTATATTATTAAGAACCTAAGACTTCAGGTTTGCTGTACATGTAGTATGTGATGGCATAATGTCATTATTCATTCTGTTTTATCTGCTTAAAGAAGGCTTAGACTGATGTCAACAACTTTTGTGTTGCATACCACATAATACCATATTATTAATTATTTAGTTGATTTCTTAGGACTAAATTTTATTATGAATAATTTATTATAAACTTTGAATCCTTTTATTTGCACCAATTTTCCTCTAAGATAAATTTTCAGTTTTAAGAATCAAAAAAGTGTTATTTCAGAAGTGTTAAAAATATTGTATGCTTTGTTAGTTATAGTAATCTTTGGTGACTCAACTGTGTGCAAAATGTTAGTAAAACATTTTGCCTGTCTGGGGTCTAGTTAATATTAGATGCATGGTTTCTTAGTAACTTGTTTTACAGTATGCAGGTCTAAACAATCCCTTATTTTTTATGTAGTTGAAAGAAGCCAAACGCTTATCAAGAATGGCCAAATCAAAGGAGTATACAGACTTTGTTAAAGATGTGTTAGGTAAGGGTATAACCAATTTTTAAAAAAAAATAGTGTTGTAGAATTTATGCAAAGCAGTCAAACTGTACCTCATATTGAAGCAAACTAGTTTTTGTTGCATATAAAAAATAACATGTGCCATCAAGGTGTCTCAACTTAATATAATATAGAAAATACTCGTGACAATTTTGTGATCCACACACTTGTATGTATAAAAATAATATTTATGCATATTTCCCAGGTTCTCAAAATGCCAAAATTTAAAATTTAAGTTCTTTGCTATTTATATGGGAAGCCATTGTAAAATCGAATGTATAATGTTCTTCAATCTCACTCTTGCTGCAATGTCAGTTTATCTGGTGTGGAAAATTCATTAATATAAAAGCGTTTTTGTTGAGAAACAAGAGAAAAACTTTCAGCAGGCATTAAGACTTAAAATAATTATTAGTCTGTCAAAATTGCGGGAAGGAAAAGCGAACCTTATTCAAGCTAATCTAAAATGTTAAAGGACCTGCTTGAATAGTCTCAATACTAAATTATGGTTATAAACCAGTAAAAGGCGCCTAACATCATCAATAAATCATTTTTTCTTGCCAAAACTGATCTCTTTCACGTTCACAGCTAAAGATAGGAAAGAAGCCCTCAGTTTAAAATCACATGTACGTGTTATTAGCAGTCATGAACCTGGACGCATGACAAAGCTATCATCCGACCAACGTAACAGTTATACGAGCTCCAAAACTCAATCTCCAGCTCAACTCAGTCTAGGGAGTAGTCATGGTTCAGGATATGAGAGTGCGTTATTGACAGACAACTTTAAGGAACTGCTCCTTGATCCTGTTGATATTCAGCTTAAGAAGTTACTAGGTTCTGAGGCCGAGGATTTTTTGCACCCAACATTCCGTGAAGGAGCCAAGAAGACACTTAATCCAGTGGTGGTGAACAGAAAATGTATGTAACATGTTTGACGTTAATCTTCTCAGTAGTGACCTATGGTTTTTTCAGGAGATTTCAAAGAGAAAGCAACGAAGACAGCTCGTGTCATTTTAGGATTTAATCTACAACAGAAATCAGAAGTTTGAACAAAATGTAATTCATACTGCAGCTTGATTAATTAGTCAGACCACACGCTCAGGTTTAATAAGTTAAAATGGTTAAAGTTAAGGATTCCGATAGCCTCCCACGCAGGCGTTTTTAGGGGAGCTCGTGTTTCGTCCCTCCCCACAAACGCCTTTGGGGAGGGATGGAAAACGAGCTCCCATGAAAACGCCTGCGTGGGAGGCTAGGATTCCGATTGCATGGTTAGGGAAGAAACACCCGGAATCACCGCTCTTTCACTGTTCTGATTCTTGTTAAAACGTGTGCGTTTAAGTGTCTGCGGTATTGCTGTAGCAGGTCCGCATCAGCTTTACGTAAACCTGCTTTATCGAATAAAATAATGGTGAGGACGACGATGACATTGATGATGATGATGACGATGATGATAATAGCAATTATGATGATGGGTCCTCACGTATTTTCATGTGTATTCCATTTCTTTCTTTCAAGTAAGTGGCATTGGAGCAAGAGATCTGTGGGGTACCCTGAGGAACAACTCGCAAATTAAACTTCAAAAACAGGACAATATGATACCCCCGGATGTTAAGGTAATGGTCTTATCATATGGGATGGGTGAGAGAGGCTAACACCGACCACAATAAAGATGATAAGGACAGAATCGACATTACACGGGTTGTTGTAATTTTGTAAAATCACCACCGTTCTCGTGTGAAATAATGAAAGTAAAGGTTTTGTCAATGACGTGAACACCATATTTAGTGCCTATTTTTTTTTCATTTGAGCTAAAATGGTAGCGTTCCTAATGCAGTTTTAAACAACTGTCCTCTAACATGTTTGTTTCATTCTTCTTTGTTCAGAATGCTTATAAAGCTTTCTTGCGAGAGTGTTTCCACAACAATGTCCCAACAGCCCGGAGAAGCTTCTGTAAGGAGGAAGTTGAGGTATGAGATCAGATAAAAAAAGAGTATTTTTTTATGAATATCCTGAGTTCTATTTTACTAAACATCAAACCGTAAAATAGGCCTCTTGTACGGAACGGTCCGTCATAGAACAAAAACACCTTACTGGATGCAAACGACGGGTAACCGGTCATTTCGCTCCCGATTTTCGAGTCATTTGGCGCGCTTTAGATGTAATATTCCTCGTTCTATAAGCCAGAATGCAAATCAAACGTGTTTCAAATGTAATATTCCTCGTTCTTTAACCCATAAACTAAAACAAGTGCGCTTCTAATATAATATTCCTCGTTCTAAAAAAGGAAGCTAAGTAATTGGGGAGAAATGACTTGGTGGCGAAATGACCGGTAACCAAACGACGCAGTGGAGCAAGAACAACAAAGAGATTTCATTATTCAAAAGGCTAACATCTTTCTTTTCAAGGTTCAACTGCATTGTTTGCGATACAGCAAGATATTTTTGTACCATGTGACCATTTTGTGCAAAGCGCTCATTCCAAAATGTAACAGCCGTAATTCAAGATCGCGGTGTCACTTTGAATTTTAGTCACTGAAGAAAACATTAATATAAATTTTCTGGATTTTCGTTAGGGCTGCTACATACGGGGAATGGCTAATCAGAGAACTTAACATCAGAGACTTCAAATTTTGAAAGTCATTTTCGGGGAGTCGTTACTGTAATTGTTGCTTCTGGAACTCTACGGTTCTGTACAGTTCCTGAGAAAAACTGAGCACTTTCGTAGTCAATATTAATTTTTCTGTGGATCTTTATTGCGTCTTTCTTTATAAAGAGATGATTGTCTCATGCTAGATCAGTATACTTCATACTAACGCTTTTGTTGTTGAATAAGGTTCTTGATGAAGACCGCGCCAGCGAAAGCCAGTTAATTCAGGATATTAAGTTCACCCGTCATCGCTTGGAACTCATGTTTCGAGTTGCTCACATGAACCGTGATAAGACGAAATTACTGGTCAAAAGTATTGAACCAAAGGAACCTTCTGAGGGGACCATGATCAGACCACCGAGGTACAATCCACGGCAAATATTGGACAAGACAAAGGTGAGAGTTTTTTAAAAATGTTTAAAACGGAGATACAACCAATGGAATCTCTCTAATATAGTTCTATACTCTTAGCAATAGGCAGGTCCACGGGAAATTATCAATCAGTAGCTTTGATTTAAATATTTAACCCCCCTCCCCCCACCCCACTGTCTCAAGATCAAGAACTGAGATTCCCTTGTACAGCATAATAAACATTACTGCAGGAAACTGCTCTGTTTACGTAACTTTCATTTTAATGGTCACACTTTATCCACAGACTCAAATTGTCCAGAATGATGAAAGTATCACGTGAAAGCAGGGCTACATCAGTGGCTATACAGTGTAACTTGACTGGTTTTAGGGTTTTGGCAGATACTTTGTTTAAAGCGTAGTTGTTTTGTTTTCCTTTTTAGGCGCACCATCTTGTACCATTACCTGTCTTCGCATTAACAGACACAGAAGGAGATAGCCACTCCGTTCAAATACCGCCGTCCCCTCGCGAGGCCATCCTCCCACTTGAAAAAGAACAAGACGTTATCGTCGGAGGAGAGAAAATCAAGTTTCTAACCGAAGAAATGGCTACTTGTAAAGGAGAGTTTAGTAAACGCCATAACGCCCCTGGATGTTCTTCAGAAATGGAACCTGTAACCACGGGGTTACCGAGAGGGATCAATATAAGAGGAACTCTGTCAGCCCCTGCTAGTAGTATGGGCGCCAGGGAAGAAAAGAAGACCCAAGGAAAGCAGTGGGAGCCACTTAGCCTAAGCGCACTCTTGGAGTATAACGCTCCTGTTAACGCCCCCGGCGATGGCGACTTTCTTTATGGGCAAACAAAAACCTGGAAAATACAATAATAGCAGGTTTTTGGCTTTTCTCGTCTTTACACCTCATACCAGGCTGGACTACATTAATAAGGCTGGCAAGACAATTGGAGGGGGCGAGGCGAATATTAAGGCATCTTCTTGGGTTCCATTGTATCATAGTACTATGATTGTACAGGCTCGATTTTGCCGCTTAGTCGGGTACGGTTTTCCAAGGAGAGGTAAACTCCAGGTTATTCCCGAAGAGCGGCTAGAATTCGAGCCTATTCGTGTGTGGGTTGAAAGCATTGCGTGACTCCAACCCGAGCGGCTGCGAAGAAGCGTTGTGACAATGTAACATCGACCCAGGGGAGGATCTGTCCAGCGGTTTTACTGAAAACAAGGGTTTGTGGGGGTTTCTCATTCTCGCGGGCTCACAAAACCTCCCCTAGGTCGATCTTATTTTGTATTTGCCGCGAAAGAGACTGTCCTCTCACAAGTCGTGACTGAGATCACCTGGAGCGGCTTGTCAGATGGGCCATAAGCATACCGTTGTGGAGTCACTTTTGTGGGGTCACTTTGCTCGTGTACGAGAGGGAGACACGGGTGTCTCCCTCTCGCGCGCTCGTTCTTTCTTGCGCCCACTACTTCCAAGTGCCTGCTACGCAGGCTGAAGCAAAATGAGTTACTTCGCGTGTAGTCGTTGTCTCGTAATCTTGGCGCACTGAAAATCACTGTCTCATTTCGAGTGGAGCTCGGGATGTGCTTACAGGGTAAAGGGTAAATCAGAGTCCGATTCGTAGACACCTCAGATAATGTGTAAATATCATCACTGTAAATAAACGCTAATGATATTTTTATTTATGTTTTAATAAAAATATACAGAAAAGACATAAATTCTTTGATGTAATTATTGTTCCTTTTTCTGACGTAATGAATGATTTTACCAATTACCACAGAAAGCCATGAAGTGGTGCAAACATACAAATGAGAAGAGCCTCTCTACAGTTGGTCAGGAGGACAGCATTGTTGTGACCCTGATTGCCGCCAGAAGCGAAAGACTTTCTCAAAGTCCTTCGCTTCTCATTTCCAGTTCCAGTAGTAAGGCCTGCCGCTCCCTGTTGCCGCAGAAAACATAAAAATTCTCCTACTCGCGCTTTTCGCGCTCGAGAAAAATTTTGAGCTCCACTTGAGGGCAAGTTCATTATTTTATTCCCTAGATGAGCCGTAAAACTGCAATCCTTATATGGCGGATCCCGCGCACTGAGGTGGGTGTCCTGTGCTTACGGCCGAAGATTGTCCCCATCGCTGAACTATAAAAGTCCTTGCAAAAAATCAAAACAGTCNAAGCATACCGTTGTGGAGTCACTTTTGTGGGGTCACTTTGCTCGTGTACGAGAGGGAGACACGGGTGTCTCCCTCTCGCGCGCTCGTTCTTTCTTGCGCCCACTACTTCCAAGTGCCTGCTACGCAGGCTGAAGCAAAATGAGTTACTTCGCGTGTAGTCGTTGTCTCGTAATCTTGGCGCACTGAAAATCACTGTCTCATTTCGAGTGGAGCTCGGGATGTGCTTACAGGGTAAAGGGTAAATCAGAGTCCGATTCGTAGACACCTCAGATAATGTGTAAATATCATCACTGTAAATAAACGCTAATGATATTTTTATTTATGTTTTAATAAAAATATACAGAAAAGACATAAATTCTTTGATGTAATTATTGTTCCTTTTTCTGACGTAATGAATGATTTTACCAATTACCACAGAAAGCCATGAAGTGGTGCAAACATACAAATGAGAAGAGCCTCTCTACAGTTGGTCAGGAGGACAGCATTGTTGTGACCCTGATTGCCGCCAGAAGCGAAAGACTTTCTCAAAGTCCTTCGCTTCTCATTTCCAGTTCCAGTAGTAAGGCCTGCCGCTCCCTGTTGCCGCAGAAAACATAAAAATTCTCCTACTCGCGCTTTTCGCGCTCGAGAAAAATTTTGAGCTCCACTTGAGGGCAAGTTCATTATTTTATTCCCTAGATGAGCCGTAAAACTGCAATCCTTATATGGCGGATCCCGCGCACTGAGGTGGGTGTCCTGTGCTTACGGCCGAAGATTGTCCCCATCGCTGAACTATAAAAGTCCTTGCAAAAAATCAAAACAGTCGTAAACTTCATCTTTTCGTCAGCAATGTTAAGATGTAATTGCAAAGTTACGTGGCTTCAACACAGTGGCAAAACAGAACAAGATTTCATTTTTTCAAGGGTTTCATGTGACCCTTGTCCCCAGTCCCTTCTCCGTTGATAGGGACGCGTTAGAAGACTTTCAAGATGGCGGCCAAAGAGCACGTTTTATTTTGAAGGACATTTGGTCAATTTTGCCAGCTGAAAATGTAATTTTTTCCCTCAAATGTTTTTCCTTTGCTGTGTATCATCTTAGAAAAAATGGGAGTCACCTGGTGAGTAGCATGATCGACGATAGGGATGTAACGACAATTAGTGTCAAGCATAAAACAGCAACAAATTCTTATTTTTCCTTTCTTTTTACAAAAAGTGTCATTCCTGTGGAACTACCAGAGGGCAAGAGTGGCCAGCAGGCATTTGCTATAGAAAAATTACAGAAGCGTACAGAGTTGATGGGTGCCACCAAAACTGGGACTTGGTGTGTTAACTGTGAGACTTATCAAGCTATCACAACCTTTAGTAAGTGTGTATCTCTTTCAGATTTACTGATTAAAGGTACTGAGTTTTTTTGTGGGGACAAAGTTTTAATTATCTCCTGTGTTCCCTGTGCACATTAAGAGGCAAGTCAAGCTAGTGAAACTGTTTGGGAATCTTTTTGATAAACCACAGGCGGTCCAAACTCACGTTACGAGGGAAGGGTGCAATGTAATTTACCTGCGTTACAGGCGACCGTTGAAAATATAAGAGACTTTGTATGAGAAATATATTACTGAGATTTGCGAACGATAAATAACGCTAAACCTTACTTTTTCTTAAATGAAATGAGTAAAAAAGACTTACCTGCAATGTATTCCACTGCATTTTGGTGTCTGTTTGTCGTTTTACTGATTTTTTTGGCTTTATGGCGTAACCGCTGTTATTCCTTTCATAGAACGAAGTGAAAGGCTGGTCACTTCGATCTGTCGGGGTCCTGGACCAGTCGCAACAAGAATGCCGTTTTTTTCGCAGAAATTCAAATCCACTGCAAACTTGTCAGCTCCAGCCCAAGAGGGAAACCTCTTCTTCCTCTCTGGAAGATCAGCTTGAAAAAAGATCCATAATTTCCCCATCAAATCGAGCCATTTGTGCCAGACTTAGAGACACGTCTGGCTTTCGTCCAGTGCCTGTGACCACTGTCGCACTTACCAACTAATTTGCATTATGACAATTGGGTCTTACACGACGGGTGCCAGGGCGGAAATGACACGTCAACTAGGCTCTTGCACTGTGAAAAAGCGAGTGCTTGCACCCATCGTGTAAGTGCCAATTGTCATAATGCAAATTAGTTGGTAAGCGCGACAGTGGTCACAGGCACTGAACAAAAGCTCGATTTGATGGGGAAATTATGGATCTTATTTCAAACTGATCTTCCAGAGAGGAAGAAGAGGTTTCCCTCTTGGGCTGGAGCTGAAAAGTTTGTAGTGAATTTGAATTTTGGTGAAAAAAACGGCATTCTTGTTGCGACTGGTCCAGGACCCTGACAGATCGAAGTGACGAGCCTTTCACTTCGTTCTATGAAAGGAATAACAGCGGTTATGTAATAAAGCCAAAAAAATCAGTAAAACAACAAACAGACACCAAAACACAGTGGAATACATTGCAGGTAAGTCTTTTTTATTCATTTCATTTAAGAAAAAGTAAGGTTTAGCGTTATTTAGCGTTCGCAGATCTCAGAAATATATTTCTCATACAAAGTCTCTTATATTTTCTATGGTTGCCTGTAACGTGACACCGGCGCGTCACCTATGGTATGTAAATTACATTACACCCTTCCCTCATAACGTACGTTTGAGCCGCCTATGGATAAACGAACCGAGGCACTGAGGAATCGAGAGAAGCCCCCAGGGTTGGAGGGAGGGGAAAAAAGGCAACTTGAAGGACTGAGTGAGAAAAGTGATTGGATTATGACAAGTCATGATGTCTGTTAGCACCCAGCCGGCGAAATTGGGCTAATCATGTGACAAGGCAGCTGCAGCCAGGTTGCCAAACCAAAAAATACAATATTTATTCACAGAATTTGCGTGAAAAAGAGTTAAGTTTTCAGTGGAGGGCTGAAAGGTGTTATTCTTGTCAGACAAATTGGCTGCTATGACGTCAGCTTCAAGCAGCAATATTTTTTTTTGTTTGTTTGATCTGATCACTTTTGGTTTTTTGTTGTTTTCCACTTCAACTAATCAGAAGAGTTTGATTCCTCTTTAACACCAAAACATGTCTATAATACAGTTACTTCACTATTACAAAGACACCTACTGGTAACTTCATACAATTTCTGTATGTAATGTGGACATCCCCATATTAAGAAGATTCTGATTTTCTCTGTTGCCTGCTAATTAAGAAAAACATCTTTAAAACATTTTTGTACAGGAGTGTGCTTGAATTTACCGAGGTCATAATTTCTTTGAAACACTATTCTGTCAGGCACAGCAAGTAAGCTGATTCATCTGTTGCACAGCACTGAGTTTCCTTATTCGTCATTTGCTGTATTGGAAACAGGAACCTGCCTTGTAGCTGATTCGGGCTTTGACTCACTTATGACCAAGTTAAAGACATTCTATACACCCAGAAAAACTGCCAAGATTGAGGTAACTTAATCTCACAAACCACCTTTATTGAATACCGTAAATCCTCTATTAAGCCCCCCCCTCTCAAATAGGCCCCCTTCCTCAAATAAGCCCCCCCCCCCTTTTAGGGGAAGAACGTCAATAAGCCCCCCNTTGTTTTGGATTGTTTTTTTTACAAATGGGAATTTTGGTTTTTTTTTTGTCCCTCGGGTCATGACCCCCCACCTTTTTTTTCTTTGCCTTTTTTTTTTTTTTTTCTTTTTTTTTTTGGAAACCACCCCCCCCTTTTTAAAAGAAAAGGGCCCCCCCCCCCCCCCCCAAATGGGCTTAAAATGAACAAGCCCTCCAAGGGGCTTAGTGGAGGATTTCCACAGAACTGTAGGCTTAACTACAAGCCGCTGTTCGGGAAAATGAGTCTGCACTCATCCCCTCAAAGGAGCTCTCTTCAGGGAGGATCAAAGATTGGATCCGGGAGATGGCGGAAATCAAGTCTATCAGAGCTGCTAATTTAAATTCAACTCTCTCCAAGACCCTCAACATTGTTAGGACTTATGTTTGAGTGTAGCAATTAGTCAGCAAGAAGGTGTGACCAACCGTGTACCATCATGAAGTTTTAGAAAGGTGTCCCGTAAGGGATAGCTGACTGTATAAATGGTTTCATCATGACCAAGTGTATTTCCATACTTTCAAAAAAAGTAACCTGGGCTGCTTACTTGAAATCTGATTGGGCAGTTTTGTCGGAGCAGCTGCAGCTACTATACCTAAACAACAGATGTGATTGCCAAGTGTGAGGGCAAGGTGACTAAGCATTGATCAATTTTTGCATTTCCATGCCCACACTGAGACCCGCTTAAGGCCCACACTCGGTGCAAATTATCTTTCATCTAACAGTAACCTTGACTGTGACAGGGGTGTAGTTACAGGGCTTCTTAGGGTGCTTGTGACTCCCCTTTAGCAGAAAGAATATTAGAAAATTGATAAACCAAAGTACATGCAAAAATCCAAAAATTCACCATTGTTGAATGACGATATTTCAGTTTTCTTGTATCCAAATTTTTTGCAAAAATCATCATTTGAAAGCTCACTTCGTTGAAAATTTTCTTTGTATCAAATAGATTTGGTCAATGGTTTTTATATGCAGCGTGCAAAGAAAGTAGTGTCCAATAGCCCGGGACTAGTGGATTTTGCTATTGGGCTAGTGAATTCTGTCCTTAACTTGCCCAACGGGCAAGTGAAGTATTTTGAGAAATTCAACTTACCGAAGAACTGTGAAATCAATTCTGCTCATAAAAAAATTGGGGGGGCTAGTTGAAATGATGTTTGGACTAGTAGATGCTAGCTTCAGCTTGCCCGACTGGCAAGCTGTAAAAATGACTTTCTTTGCACCCTGATATAGGTCAACATGAGATTGGATAGGTACCTTGGGTGTTGCATCCCTCCCCCTTGAAAAATCTAACCTTTGCTCCTACTGGAAGCATAAGTGGGCATCTCTTTTGATTTGATTCTTAGGCCAAAGGTCAGCGGTATGAGTATGGAGATTTTGTTCTTAAATTTGGCCAAGTATCTGCAGGACCAAGTTTTAAAGGACTTGTCATTGAGGTATGTGACTCCATATTTAGTAGACATTACATTGTCAAGAAGTCTGAAGATGTTTGCAGATTCCCTGACCATTGTGCTTCTCAGTAAAACGTTATAGAGACACTAGCTGCAGCTGTTCGCATGCATTTAAGGGGTGTCCGTTCTGAAAGTTGACTGTAAATGGAAAGTGTCTTTAATGAGAATTGGAATTGTTTCCGTGAATCTAAAAAAACTCCGGCCCTCTCTTCCCTCCCTCTTCTCCTCAAGGCACCCCTCCCCCCAATTAACTCCTTGTCTTTTAGTACGAACTGTTTTTTTTTGTTGTTGTTTTTTTAACCTGTTGTAGCTGGAATATCAACCATGTGATGACATCGCACAGTGCTGGAGCCTGATAAGTGAATTTTTAATCAGCTTCATGGACGAATCCTTTGTTCTTCCGTCCCCTCCCAAGTGCAACTACAAAACGACAGAGATGTTTTGTCCTTCAGATACCATTCTTCAGTACATTGCAGTGTTCAATACTTACAGAAAGTCTATGGGTGTTGCAGCGGGTTCTTTGTCACAGTAAATCTGTGAATATAAGCAGCCTCTACACGAACCTGTTCACTATCTATAAAAGTCGAAAATCACCACTTGGATATTATCATAAGAACTTTAATATCTCTGAAATTCCCTGGAAAACGAGACGACTCTGGGACCAGGGTGAGAGTAGTCCCTGACTCACACAAAAATGTCGCATTTCACACAAACGAAATAGGCTTGTATAGTCAATAATAGAGTCAAGCTAAATTAAAACGCTAGATTAAAAGCTAGATTAAAACAGGAAAAACGGATCGTACGCAGGTTATTCGTTTTGACATACTGACTCTTCATTTTTTCACTTAGGTTTTTTATAACTCTTGAAAGGCCCCTATTTATTTAATCAATTTGCCTTTATTTGCGTAAACCTCGTTCTCAGGGTCTTATATCTCTCATCCCTGGGGAGTGAGAGAAGAAGAGAAGTCCTGGAAACGAGCTTGGGTTTCCCTTCAAACTGCTTCCGAAGACACAAAGTCGATTAGAAGGCAAGTTTTTCCATTTGGACGGGTCGTTACTTGTAGACTAGGTATCAGCAGAGAGACTGTACTGTGATTAGATGGTTCATACACCCTAAACGTCCCCTTTTTTGTTTACAGTTAAGGTGGGCCTTCAACTGAGAGGCTTATAAGTAATGGTGGAGGGAGGGAGTCTTCTTTTAAGCGGCAATTTACGGTATTAGCCACCGGATGCAAAATAAATCATGACGTGTTCTACAGGTGATCGAATTTGTTACATCATGCGTTTAAAAAGGTATTGACCAGAGATCTTTGGCCAACTATTATAAGGAACTTGCTCATCAACAAACAACTCTTTCGCTTTCACAATGGCGTACTCAGAAGTACCGCTTGAACTAGGGGTGCCAGAAAAAGTGAGACTTGATCTTGATATACTTGGAAAAAATATCGAAGATGAGGGTACTGCCAGACAACATGGCGATACGCTGGAAAAGCGTGGTATCTCTGGGGACGAAGATCTCAAAAGCGCTAAGAAGCTGAAGTTTCGTTTCTAAATTTTCGTTGTTCAAAACGTTTGAACGCAATATTGTTACGGTTTCCAGATGGGTTGTCGGAGTGAAAACCACTAATTATATTATTAGACTTTATATCTGCGGCAGGTGTAAAGTTTCGCGAATCAATGTAAGTTTTTTTTAAAAGTATCATATCCCTCAAACTGACTGAGACTCCTATGTTGATGTAGATACAATTATTGTGAAAATGAAAAAGGAATTCTCTTGTCCTTTATTTTTTTTATAATTCACTCCAATATTTTTCCTTTATTTAAGTAGAATAGTAGTTAATTATTGTAAAATATATACTTATATAACGTCTAATTTCTTTTTTTTGTATTTATTCAATTTGGTGTCATGTAATTATGTAGCCTGGCCTGCCTCGAATAGCCTCGCTAACTGCAGGCCATCCCCAACATATTTTTGCAATTTATTTACGAATTTAATTTAAATAAAAGTTGATGTTTTGACAAACGGGTGTAAATTGCATCGGTTCATTATGATTCGATATTCGATCGGAGAGGCTAAAACGGGTACCAGTCAAACACCAGGAAGTTGTTGGAGAACAACTTTTGAGTTTCTGCAGAAGACAGGATAATATTGACGTCGGAAAAGTATTGTTCGGTAGTTGACTCTATTTTCTAATTCATTCTTTGCAATTTCCTCTCAGTTTTTTCCCCGGACAGTTCATCGTGCTGAATAATTTTCTTAAACGGATTAACGCTTTTAGTTTTGATATAGAGAAGTCGCCATTCGATCCCTAGAAACTTTCGGAAGTTTTGCCCTCACATATTCTTGCCATGCATGAACAAACGTTCATAGTCGACATCAGCTTTCGCTTGGCCCCAGTTGATTTCGTGAATTCTGGTTGAGAATCAAGCTGCGACCTTAATCGTACGAAACTTGTACGGTTTATAGCCTGACCAAGTCGTCTGTATAACAAAAGCAGCCATTTCATGTGTCGAGCAAGGTGGCAGCGCGGAAAATGAGGTCAACCAAGCGCGAACCATCATAAAGCCGGAGCATTAAAATTCGTCTTTGTTTCCGACGGTTCGATTGGTCTACATATCATTACCTTACCTGCAGATAACATGCATCAAGGGAAGGTACTGGGACGCAAATGTTACGAACCTGTTCACTATCTATAAAAGTTGAAAGTAACAACTTGGATATAATAATAAGAACTGTAATATCTTTGAAATTCCCTGGAAAACGAGACGACTCTGGGATCAGGGTGAGAGTAGACTGCATTATCAGAGTTCACAGAATATGTCATGAAAATCCCAGACTCGAACAAAAATGTCACATTTGTGTCAAATGTCACATTACAAGAGGAAAAAGTAATGGTACGCAGGTTATTCTTTATGACATACTGACTCTTCATTTTTTCATCTATGTTTTTATAACACTTAAAAGGCCCCTAATTATTTAATCAATTTGCCTTGATTAGTGTAAACCTCGTTCCCAGGGTCTTTCGTCTCCCATCCTAGGGGAGTAAGAGGTCCTGGAAACGAGTTTGGGTTTGCCTTGCAACTGCTTCCGGAGATAAAAAGTTGGTAAAAAGGCAAGTTTTTACATTGGAACGGGTCGGACGTTACCGGGCGTTACTTGTAGACTAGGTATCAGGAGAAATAAAGAGAGATACAGTACTGGGTTCTGTTATAGTTACCTTGATAATTTTTAGATTATAAATTTTAGGCATTCTTCAGTATACTTTATTGTAATTATTACAGGTAGTTATCGTTGTAAGGTGCATTTGATCATATTCAGATGTTAATTTGCGTCTAATAAGAAATAAATTATTATTAAATTATTTGCAAATTTAAATTTTTATTGTCCTGTTTTTAAGAAAAACAGATGTAACGAGAGGAAATTTCACTGTGTCAAGCGGCTTTTCGTCCTGTCAAACCAAATTGGCGGGAAAGTCAAACTAGGAAAACAACGGAACTAAAGCACTTCGCGAAGGCGCGAGAATTAGCAAATAGTGATCTGCTAATGGAAGTTATTGACGGGCCGGGGGAAACTGCAATTCGGTAGAGCGACTGGCTCGCCGCAGGCACTCGTTACTACTGCCAGAGGTACAGGGTCTAATTTCCACGTCCCAAGGTACGAAGGTTGGACAAGAACTGAGACTTTTCTGTAATGCTGCAACTTCTTTATTGTAGAGTAAACCTCTTAGATAGTACTTCACATGTAATCGTAGGTAATCGTGCAGGTAATCGTAGGTTAGGTAATGGCAGGTTAGGTAATCGATTTACAACAGTTTAAGCACTACTTTTATACAGTGAAAAGCAGAGTCAAGTATGTAGATGATGCTACTGCCATAGAAATCATCCCTAGGTGCTCGCCGTCTTACCTACCTTTTACAGTATCCGATATCTATACATATGCTTCCTTAAGAGGCCTGAAACTTAATTCAAAGAAATGTAAAGAAATGATCATTAACTTTATGCAGTATAGCCCATTCCACCCTGTCCCCCTTACCGTTGGGGGTTCTGTTATTGAAAGGGTTGTGACCTATAAGCTCCTGAGTTTCTATATCTCGGATGATCTTTCATGGAATGCCCACATAGAGCACATAGTCAAAAAGGCCAACAAGCGTTTGTACGCATTGTGTGCGCTTAAAAAAAGTGGCCTCACTATCACGCAGCTAGTGCAAATGTACTGTAGCATTGTAAGATCTGTACTTGAATATGCCTGCCCTGTTTGGGCAGCCCTGCCAAAGTATTTAGATGACGTTATAGAATCTGTACAAAAAAGGGCCCTACGCATCGTTTTGCCGAACTGTCACTATGACGACGCCCTAATTCAATTTGGCGAGACAAGACAAAGCGATTCGCAGATTTCTGCACCGTTAAGTTTCAAGACCAGTTGTAATCCTGTGCTTGTTATTTTTTCTCTGTTTGTAGTGCTTTTAATCATATTTACATTATTATCTATTTGATTGTTTTTGTTTTGTATTGTCTTCTGTTAGTGTCACTGAGCTTCCTTGCAATTCAGCCTTTAGGCTGCGAGAGGGATATCAATAAACTATTATCATTATTATTATTATTATTATTATTATTATTATTAGTCTACAGTAAACACAGGTGTTCGATTATCAGCAAAGGAACACAAAAAGCTATTCAAAAATACACGTGCTAGCTCATGCTCGAGCGTGCTTGCTCGGCAAAAAGGAACTCTTTCGCTTTCAAAATGGCGAACGGCCGAGAACGTGTTGTATGTCGTGCCATCCGTGCCGCGGTACGAGAAAACAGAAGCAGATTGCACACCGTACGACAAGAAACGTGATCTTGATGGCCTCAGACAAAATATCGAAGATAAGGGTATTGCCAGACAACATTGCGATACGCTAGAGAAGCGTGGTATCTCTGTGGACGATTTCATAAACCCATCAAAAGGAAAGGATTTGAAGAATATTCAGTACTATCGTCGGGTGAGTTTATATCCTGGTCGACTTAGACAGTATAGGAAGTATTGTATTCAGTTTACGGATGTTATTGATAGTTCGCGTGAATTCTTGCTTCCTCTTAAGATCAACACAAGTATCAAGCAAAAGTTCCTCGTCTGTGGAGAGATAAACGCAGGAATAGCCGAATTTTCTCGTTCAACATACGAGAGTCCAGGACACGAATGGGATGCGCTTTTGAGTAACTGGATCAAACGGAATCGGTTTCCTGTTATCCCTAACTCCCATACTTTAGAGGATGAAGAAGTTGCACATCGTCTTATTTCATACGTCGAACTACAACACGACCTAACCTTCCTTGATAGCAAGCTTCCACTGTTTGGGTTCACGAGGGAGGTTGCTAAAGATCAGAAGAAACGTCCTAAGCTGTATCTTTGGCAGGGAGAAGCTGATGCCATTGCATACAGTTGTGCACTCGAAAAGTATGTCATCGTTGATTTTAAAGTAGTCGACAATTTGTTAGATTATTGTAAGAAAAAAACGGATTTATGTGGGAAGCATTTGCATCAGTGCTTGGTTTATGCAAAGCTTCTACAGCTGTACATGAAGCTTCATTACTTGCCTCCCTGCCTCATAGTAGTCATCCATAAAGTCACTGGGAAAGACGGATACTTCGCGCTGTTTAAAGATTACCCTGAGGAGTGCTATAAGAAGCTTTATGAGTATGAGTGGTTCACTGAGCAGCCCCCGAAACGTCCCCTAAAGATACACAACCCTGAAAAACTGTTGGACCCTATATACATATTCAACAATCCGATTACTCGAGACACGCTGCTGAAAGACCTTTTTTTTAATAGCGGATCTACAGTGAAAGACCTCTTTGAAGACCTCCTGGGCTACGATGGCATTGAAATCGTTCCACGAAAAGAACAACATCAGTAAATGCTCTATGACTTTTAATTGCATCCTTAAAAAACAACTCTTAGATGTACGCATCGAAAATATTATCACAGTCATTCTGGCTGTTTGGTTTTCGGTTTACTTGAAAGCGGTGGGGTGAGTTGGATATAATGCTACTTAATATATACCAATAATCTTTTTAGTAGTTAAATCCCAGTCAGTCGATCGTAAACATTTTCACAGCTTGGGTCAGTCTTTGTAAACAGGAAGATCTCGAAAGTTCTAAGGAGCTGAACTTTCGTTTCTAATTTTCATTGTTCAAAACGTCTGAACACATTATTGTTAAGTTTCCGGATGGGTTGTCGGAGTGAAAACCACAATTTGACTTTCTACCTTCGCTAGTTGTAAAGTTTCGCAAATTATGCGCAACTAATTTTGCAAGATCAGTTTTTTTTTTCTTAAAAGTAGATTATATATCAAACTTAAGGTAACCAAGGAGATTCGTTTGTTTTCACAAACATTACGGAGGGTGTGAATTGTATGGGCTCATCAGTTATGATTCGCGCTCCTTATACTGACTGGATATTCGGTCGGAGAGGCTCATACAGACAGTCACCCAAGTCAAACACCAGGATGTTGTTGGGGAACAACTTTTGGGTTTCTGCAGAAGACAGGATAACGTCGGAAAAGAATTCTTCGGTAGTTGACTCTATTTTCTAATTCATTCTCTGCAATTTCCTTTAAGTTTTTCCTCCATGAAAATGGACAGTTCATCATGCTCAAGAATCTTTTTAAAAACGGATTAACGCTTTTAGTTTTGATTTCTAGAAAAGTCGCCATTCGTTCCCTAGAAACTTTCGGAAGATTTGCCTTTACATACAGTAAACACGCCCGCATATAAGAACCTAGAATTTTCGTGATCAGGCTGAACAGGTTCTTATATTTCAGGCACTTTTTGACAAATCAGGCTGATTAGGTTCTTAATAGATTCTTAATTTTTCAGAGTTTGTCGTAGCATAGTCATTCACAGAAATATTACACTACCAGTACATAATGGATTAGAACTAGTTTATAAATAATAAACATATGCTTGCCAAGCTAAATATATACACATTAACATATTATTAGAGGTTTCACATACAGTTAACTGATCCAGAATTTTGATAATCGAACAGTGGGGTTAGCTTTTGTAAAAGAACCTCTTTTCGTCGCCAGGCTGAACAAGTTCTTATAAATTTGAGTCTAAAATGCCAAATTACGTTCCAATTCGCTTCGCTCAAACAAACGTAAATTATTTTCCTCTTAAATGTGATACATACAAAACAAACACCGCTATCTGATGGTTGGATGCTCAGGCATTCCATACCGATGTGATTTTATTATTACAGACTTCAAAACAGTACATTTGAACGATTAAATGGTTCAAGGAAATAACAATCTTATTAAATGCCTAATAAATGACCAGTAACCTCTAATCTTCTGCAAATATCTTCATGGATATGCCTGTCCTTGGCAGTATGTGTTTTCCACCGGCGGGGACAGAAAAAGGAAGTTTGACGCTAATATTGCGAGCCTTGCACCAAGTAATGAACTTTTGAATTTCTTTTAGCCAGGTATCTCTTAACAGTCGAATTGGCTCTAGATCTCATGAGGAAATGGACAATTTCAGTGGCGTCAGGCTTTATACAATCTGGCAAATTCTTCCACGCAGGATAAGAATTGAAAGCCTTCAACGACAAAAACAAAAGGGGAAAAACTAAGTAAAGGAAGAAACAAACTCTCTCTATTTTTTTTTTGCCAGAGTGATTCCATAAGGCCAGCGCCACTAGAATCAATCCTCCAGAAAATGTGGGCCAGTGCCTCTAAAAAAATATCGATGATCACGCAATAAGACAATAATAAAACGGTCGGTGCCTCTCGTGAGTCTCATATTCAAACAATGAACAAGGAAAAGCCTCAGGACCAGCAAATACAACGTCCAAAAGGTCTATTCATAAGCCGAATGATGACCAATATTACTACTGATTAAGGCAGCAAAAGAGACCAGTGTCTCCTAAGAAATACAAATACTGAGGGGTAGACCATTCTATTCTAAACTACCTAAAATCCATCCTAATGGCCAAAATATAGTAATTAGCAAAACAATCCACTGTATAACAAGCCCCAACAATTGTCAAGATAACGGAAAAAACCGTCATCAATGTCGATAATTCTACAAGAAGAAAGTCCGCTTTTTGCACCAAATTCTGCACAGCCTACGAAAGAAAACAAAAATGCGAATTAGTCTGAAATATTATAAACACTATCAACAGGGCGAGAGTGCGGGAAACCAACGGTAAACACGTCGGAAAGAGGAATGCGATAGAGAGAAAGAACGCATTCTACTCGGACGAATTTATGGTGTAGATTAACCATCCAGAATTAAGGTGCCAGAGAACCCTGTAGAGAATTGCAACATACCAGGGGAGAAAAAAGTTTCAGCCTGTGGGTTCTTAAAGCTTTTGGTGTTATATGCGGGTGTTTACTGTTATTGGTGCCCCGATGCATGAACAATCGTTCGTAGTCGGCATTTGCTTTCTCGTGGCCCCAGTTGATTTCTTCGTGAATTCTGGTTGACAACCTAGCTGCGACCTGAAACTGTACGAACCCTGTACGGTCCCTAGCCGATATTTGTTGTCTATATAACAACAGCAGCCATTTAAAGTGTCAAGCAAGGTGGTAACACAGAAAATTAAGTCAACCAAGGGCGAACCATCATAAAGCCGGATCATTAAAACTCCTGTTCTTTTCCGAAGGTTTGATTGGTCACCATATCATCACTTTACCTGCAGATAACAGAGCCTGACTGCATGCCGGGTCATGCCGTCTCACTGAGTTAAGGTCATATCGTTACAGTAGTTTCTGAAGATTGGCTCTAACGAAGGGCTTGCCTCCAAAACGTCAGCTTCTCAATCTATCTACGGTGTTTAACTCAGTTGGCCAATGCAACATTTTTGTTTGAAAGTTCTATTGTTCCTAAAGACTGCATTACCCGTATTTAGCAGGTAGGTAGCGGAGATTACAGTTGATACTTAAGTCGACCTCTCATAAGTTCTTAGGGAACGGGAAAAAGCGAGCGACGAACCAACCGGGAAAAAAAAATTTAAAGGACTTTTAGAAAGTCTAAGCAGAGATATATGGTCTCAGTCTCTTACTATCATATAATGACTTTGATTTTAACGTGACCCCTGGACAAAAGTGAGGAAATATTGTTTGTCGTGCAGAATAACAGAATAATGTAGGACGTTATTCGCACCGGTATTCGAGATGCATAAAACACACAGTTGAGATTTATAAATTGCACATTTGCGCTTCGTAAATCCCAAGTCCGACATCTTCATGCGATTTATAAATTACAAAGTCAGACATCTTGCGATTTCTAAATCATAAAGTAAAGTAACTTGCGATTCATAAATTGCAAAGATAGAAACTTGTAATTTATAAATCGATTGCGATTTATAAATTGCACAGTTAGAAATCTTGCAATTTATAAATCGCTAAGCAGCGAAAAGTTAGATATCTGTAATTGACAAATCGCAAATGTCTTGGAAAGCGTTATTTGCAAATCGCAAGATATTAGAAAAATATTGCCTAAATAATACATCACAAGCAACACATTGAGGCTAACTGCATCACGTAGTCATATTAATAGCAAAAAATGTCTAACCCATGAAGGAGCCTCCAACCAACCAACTTATGCCACTGTTATTGAATAATAAAGAAAAGAAAGGGAGATATAAAGAATCGACCATAAGAGGACACAGAAAAAATCTGTGGCCCAGACCGGATTCGAACCCACGACCCCCTGTGTTCTAGATCAGATGCTCTAAGGTCAATTTTTCTGGGTTGGACTTAAGAACCACATCACGCAGTCACGCAGTCACGCAGTCCATCACAAGCAACACATTTTAAAAGGCTTAACTGCATCATGCAGTCACATTAATAACAAGAAATGTCTCGCCACTGATATTAATAATATAAAGGAAAGAAAGGGAGATGTAAAGAATCAACCAAAAGAGGACACAGAAAAAATCTGAGCCCCAGATGGGAGGGTCTCAATGGGGTTAACCGATAGGCGTAAAACGGTCAAAAATTTAGTCGATAGCCGTAAACATTGAAAAATTTTAACCGTAAGCCGTAAATAGAGTAAAACAGAGTTAACCGTAAAAGAAACTAGATTTGCTACTTTTAAGGGAGGTACTAAACTCTTTTATGGTTGCCTTTTTTATTTCCCTGCTAGTGTGACTCCGTACGCACGTTAGGCGAAGCGCCTTTTAGGTGTTGACCAAGACCTAGGCTCCATTTCCCCCACTCTCTCGGGGAACTAATTTTTTCCATAGCGAAAGTGTGGCTTCTTGCTGGGGATTAATATTTGTGATTTGCAGGAGGTCGTGCCTTCGAAACACTAATGAGACAACACGTCGAGATGTCACTGTTTGTAAAACACGTTGCCGGTAAATAGCATTTCCCTGTTTTTTTCTGACGCTACAGTAGACATTGCCAGGCCTAGTCCCTGTACGGCGTCTTCCCACGCAATCTCGGCAAGGCATTTCGGTGGCGCACTCGCTCGGACCACGTGGCCCGAAACGCATTAGCCGCGCGGAATAATGAGGCCTACGGACAAGGCAACGGCAAACAGTCGTTCTGTACAGTCCTTCGCTATCATTAAAAGCACTGGACATGGGAATTTTGTTATTGGCCGTTTTCACGCTAGAGCTAGAAATGGATTATCCGTCTGAGACTAGTCTGTGCACAGTCACGCCCTCTCCACAGACACCCCTTCTCCATTTTTTTCTGAGGGGAGGGGGTGGCTGTACACAGGCTATCTGGAACGGATAATCCCGTCTTCAAACTGTCCGTCGAAATTAACGGATAAAGTCAGACGGATTGTTCAATCAAAATGAAAACTATTCCATTTTCAAATTAAGAAGTATTACCTATCTGACGCGAATCATCAAACGGATAACCCGTCTCACACGAATAATCCGACTCTAGTGTGAAAA